TTGCGTTACAGAATGGGCCCACGGAGCCAAATCCTCGACTCGCGGTGGTTTACTCTCTGGCTCAGTTGAAGGAAGCGCTTTCAGCAACGTTTACATCTGCTGATTACATCGCCGACCCAGCTACCATTTTTAGAGGGAAGCAGTTCTGCTAGAAAAGGTACCTTGTGTCCTCTCCCTGTGAAAGCTATCCTCGCAAGCAAGGAGCATACGCTAGCTGTTGGTCCCCACAGTATTTCCACGGGCACTGGCAAGTCTCAGGGTATCGGGAAATGACGCAAGTAGCTTTGGGGAAAGGAAAAGGAATGGGAAGCAGGGACATGGAAAGCATAAGGAAGTGAAGGTAACAGCAAGAAGTTTGGTATGAATTAAATATGAATTTTACATATAGAAAACAACACCCTAGTATTTGCTACCTAGTTGGACATAAAATTAATGGAATAAATATAAAATGCAATGAAATTAATAGCAGTGGTACTGAATGTAAAGTTGTGGAAGGAACAACTCAATTTGCTGTTACACTGTTTCACAGAGTAGAATGATCACATTCAAAGGACTAAAAGGGTAAAACAGAATGCATGTATTCACCTTTAATGTCCTTACATTAAATTTTGTCATCTTTTCTGATATTATACCACAATAGTGGCTGTGTAAGTGAAGGACTACTTATCAATAATCTAGAAACTGCTTCAAAATTCCACATATCTTGTAATTCACAATAAAAAAGCCAGTGCCACAATACTAAAGAACTGGGCTAAAAGACATACTGGTTGGTCAGATGCAGTTACTTTGAATTATGACACAGTTCAATTTCAGTTAGTAAGATTTTCTGACATTAGAATCACTGCATTCAAATAGAGGTTAATGAGACTTAAACAGGTATCAAACATACAATAAAGATAATTAATTTTAGGTCTCAGTTGGGAAAGAGGAAATGTGATTCTGCCTTGCAGTACCAGGCTAGAAGCCGCAAATTGTAAGTTCTGTCTTCTTTTAGAAGACAGAACAACCAAGTGGTGTTCTTGATACTTATTTCTTCCTTTGTGAAATACTGCTACCCATTTGCTGCAAAAGTACTGTAAGGCTTACCATCAAAATTCTTATAGTATTAAAAGAAAATTTAGAATACCATTATAAGTAGCAATTTAGTATACCATCGAAGATATTTTAGTATAACACAACGCAGGAGCCCATTAACCTTTCACTAAGAAGAGCTCAATATATTTTCTGTAAGTTGAAGTCAGTACTTTCGGGTTTCCATTTACTTGCTCTATTCATTCCCTGTCTGCAACACAATCACGACACTTCTATTATTTCTCTCTCTCAAACTGAACTATCTCTTTTTTAAAAATCTGAATTATTTATCTGTGTGTGTATGTGTTCATACTCCTTACGTTAGAAAAGTTGCTCCTTTGGTGTGTTCAGGAGTAACCGTAACTTCCATTTGCAAGAGCCGAACAAACCCCACAGAATTCACGCTGAGCTAGAATCTGCTGGTTTAACTCCCTGCTGGGAGTCTGCCAGTTGGGAAACGCTGACCAGCAAGTACAGGTCTTAATTACACAAACCCAGAAGCTGCTGCCAACCTTTCCCTATTGAGAAGCATTTGCTTTCTAGTGTTCTTCTTGATGAACAGATTATCACTCAAACCAAATTTATTGCTGCTTTATATTGTAAGTAATTAAATGAAGAAACCTTTTAAACTCAAGGGAATTTTAATAGGTTACTTGCAAAATGTTATTGCAGGCAACAACTTGTACATGATTTTAGTTCCAAACCCACCAAAAAATTATACAAATCAGCATTGTAAAAGTGTCAAATTAATGCCTTACAGGCTTTGCTGGCAGAATTATTTTCTAAATCCTAGATGTGGGGAAATGTTACTCTCATTTTTTTCCTTTTCCATTTTTTTTAGAAAAATTTACAAGTGAAATATTACTACAAAACTTTTTTATAAGGAATTTCTGCAAAACATTTACATTTTTACCATCAACTATTTTTCTGTTTCAAAATCATTATGTAGATTTAATACCCTATGCTGCACATCAATTCTTGCGGGATGACAATTCAGTGACATGCATAAAAAAACACCACAAGGCATTAAAATGAAGACTTAAATACAAATATTGTTGCAATAAAACAGTTATAAAATTGAAAAATAGGACCTAAACATCATGCTTACCTAACTTTGACAAATTAACTTTTTCTCCTAGATTACACACTTTTATTACTGCTCTCATGAAAGAATGTGATAAATAATGACTTAACACCAATCTCTAATGTAATCAGCAACACATACACAAACCTAACCAAAGAAAGTATATTGTAAGAAAAAAACTATTCTAACACTGGAGTTCTACCATGGTAAATACACTTTGCACTGATAATTACAATAAAGCAAAAATTTTAACGGTGGCAAAGGGAATGGACAGTGAAATGCCATTAAACAAGATACTATTGCACATCTGTGCCCTATTACTTACAACAGCTATATCCCACTGAGTCAAATAAAGGACATTGAAATTTACGATCCTTTTAAGACAGAAAAGTGGATTCAGAATGGTATGCAGAACAGACCGTCAAAATGTTTCTAATTCCAGCGCTAAAACGTGCACCTGCTAACACAAGTTAATGTCCTTGAGATGCTATGAAGCCAACCAGATTTAGATTTTGATACATCTATTATAGGGATTCATTGCAGATTAAAAATTACTTCAGTTTCCTATCTGCATACATAAGTATGCATGAAAAAATTATATATGAAATGGTTGTGCTGAATGCTCATAACTTCAGTTTACAAAAACTGTTAACTTCTAGGAAACGTGGTATTAATATTAGGAAAGTATTTTCTTTGCATAAAGAAATTTATAGCACTGATTGTGAAGTATAACGATAAAATATATATTTGACATTTCATTTCCTATATAATAAAATTAACAGTTAATACTACGTAATGTTCATCTGTATTAAATGTAACATCTAATTGATTCTGATGTTTAAATCCAGATACATCAGTTAAGAGTACTTTAAATAAAATATACAAAACAATGTACAAAACCCAACTAAAATTTAAAGACTCTGTTACAAGTCTACAAAAGCTTTAAGAAACTTGAAATTTATAACCACAGTGTAAAATTGTTTTTCTTTAATCTCAAAGCTTTTTATGTAAACTGAAAGTATAAAATACCTTCAGCTTAGTATTTTGCTACAAAGGGCTGGCCTAAAGTGTACACAGTGTAAACAATGATTGGTATTTCTCTTGCTTCAAAAATACAGAAAACACCACAACATTGACAAAATATTCAGATGAGAAGTATATGTTTTGTGAGGGAATGCACAAGGTATCTGTTATGCCTCTCAAACCAACAGCTACCAAACACATTCTTCCTTTTGTAATTTGCAGGGAAGAAAAAACTTATCCTTCTTGCACTGTACTTCCTTTAGTTACATCAAAAATATTTTGGTGTATAAATTTTTTAAAAAACTGGTCATGAGAATTACTACCAAATGACTGTATGTGTAAAAAGTTACATTTATGCCTACGGGAAGTAATTAAAAATCCTGAGTATGAAATATTTGGCCATCTTTCCTCCTTGTACGTACTGGAGTTTTCACATACAAAATGCAGTCTGTTTTTGTTGTCATTGTTTTTTATTTCCTCTATATTCCTTTTAAAGTGGCACACCTGAAAATGTAACCAAACCTTTGAAATCAAAAGTCGGGTAGTAAACAGATAACTATACTCCTCTTTTCCCAGTTTGTTTTGCAGTTGGAGGCTTAATGTAAGACTTGACAGGTAACAGATATTTATTACCAGCCCACATACTATCCTTGAAGAGAAAATAGAGACAGTAATATTTAGGGGAAAAGAGAGAAAATGTTTACTTTCAATACCTTTTTTGGTTAAAATGTGATAATTAATTCTTTTCTTTGGCTATTAAGTCAAAGCATAAAGAACTCAGCACATTAACCACAATATAATAACTAGTATTTACACAGAGAAGATGCTGGAGAATGAGCTACAACACTCAATTGTCTGATTAATTTCCCTTAATTCTAACAAAATTAAAACATTTAAATACTTGAGTTTTTATGATTCATGTTACCTACAGGTTAGAAATGGACCACGGATGCTTTAAAATATAATGAAATGAAATACCAAAAACTGACACAAAAGTTGCCATATTAATTTTTCTGCCTACATAAAGATACCATTACTTTTGTAAAATCTTACATTAATATCTTTCTATGGTTTTATCTTTTCTACCGTATACACTAATTCTACATAACCTTAGCTCTCCAAACAAAGAGAGGAATTAGAACTCACTGATTGTCATTTATACACACTACTATAATGTAGTGGTTAAAATTAACCTGAGGTTCACCTCAGAACCACTTTGCAGCACGCATCATCCAGCTGCTATTGAGTAATTCCGAAACTTGAGAAAAGACGGCCAAAATCAGCTGATGTGTTCTACGGGCTGAGCAAAAACCTAAAATATTTCCACTGTCTGTATTCAATCTGTATTCAGTTTTGTTGTGCCTTATGGGAAAAGGATGCTCTCATGAAAATATTACAACTTTATTTTAAAAACAAAGAACCTTCAACAGATGATATTAATCCTAGTCAAGGTCCATCCTGTTTTACAATGACATTATCTGATTTTATAAACACATTAAGATATAATATTAAAATGGGGGGGAAGTTCATTTAAAACCATTACATGATATACAGACATATAACTAAAAAAGTACAGTATGGAAATAATATTCCCCCATCTGTTTATCCAGTACATCAATTTGCGCTGTTTGTATTTTTGAAATTTTTGTCTTGTTGCACCGGTGTACACTTCCCATGCTGACCCTCCAATCTGGAACACTTACAGAAGTCATGACTGAAAACACGATTTCCTGCGCTGTAATCCACTTTACCAGCCCACTTCCATATCCTGAAAGGTATGTAAACTTAAGTGCAGCACTAGGCGTCCGTATAAATGACCCTTTCAGAATTCTTCCATGTTTGTTGAAACATTAGGGGTTGCTGGGTTTGAATCTTGAGAAATGGCAGCAACAGTGACAATTCTTGGAGAACCAAGAACCTCAGAAACTGAAGAGTCCAGTTCTCCTGAGGTAACAATAGCAAGGGCCGTTCCACCACCCTTCTTGTTCTGATGAGTTTTGACATGTTTTGAGAGATGGTCACTTCGCATAAATCTTTTAGAACATTCTGGGCACTCAAACCTCTTTTCACCTTTTTTAAAAGAAGAACAAAACAAAAATATTACTGAGAGCACTGAACACTTTTTGCTTGATCATTTGAATCTGACACTTTTCTACTCAATATCTGAAGTGTCTTTAAAAGGATACAACGTTTTCTTCTCCACCTGTCTCATTTCCAGGCCACAGGCTTTTGGCAATCCACTCTTCACTGCTAAAATGATTCTCAACAGATATTTGCTATGCTGTGATTATCTGGTAAGATCAGAATTTCAGGTCACCAGAGAATTTTCACAAACTTCTATACACCTGACAGAGTAGGATAGACAAAAGCCCTGAAAGAACTGCCTGATTGCATTTTGTAAGAATACTTTTGTTGTTATTTACATTACAGTGATGAGAAGGGAATTTGGAAACGTGAATCCCAAAGCTCCATGAGGATGTAGGAAATCTCAGTCAAGAGAGATAAATTCACCAGACTAAGAAGTCCCGTCACTGTTTATATGTAATTAGCAAATGAAATTGGGGGGGGGGGGGGGAACGACAACGACACACGATGACACACACCTTCTTGGGGCTAGAAATAAGAAGGCTGATAAAATTTTCAGTTTCTAAAAGGTCCACCCTGTAAAGAGAACTTGCTTTATCAGTTCTCACTTGAAACTTCAAGAAATTTCCCCAAAAGATCAAATCCAAAGTATGGACTATGTTAATACATTTCTGAAGGATGGAGCTAGTCCAAGTGAGGAAATGATAACCCTGGTCCGTGGCCAATCCTATATGCTCATGAAAATTTGCCAAACTTAGATCAGGCATTGGCTAATGTGCATCAGTTACCTGTGATGAAATGATCATCTTTTTCTAACATAGGTAGAGAAGAACAGTTTGAACAGATCTCACTTTATTTATTTGATTTCCCAGTCAGCTTGTATCGACGAAAACTGAAATCTACCACCTCCTCTCTTTTAAGGTTACTTTATTTACATTTAAAAGTAGTTTTCAGGGATCATAATAACTGAGATCTTTGATACCACTATGATTCAGATTTGCTGTACCACGCACAGAGAGAGGGCTGACCAACCTGTATGGGTTCTTCTATGTCTTTGTAACTCATCGCTCCTTGTAAATCGCTTGCCACAAAAAATCCAGTTGCATACAAATGGTCTTTCACCAGTATGCCAGCGCAGATGTGCTCGAAGATGAGATGTCTTGCCATAAACTTTTCCACATCCTTCAATATGGCAGATATGTTGTTTCTTTTTTCCTGGCTCATTGCTGCCTCTAAAAAGATCCAATTTAAACAGGTAAGTAATTATATACTCAAATATTATTAACTATTAGGATAAGTATTTCATGCTAATAGAGACAATTACAATCCACTGTCTAATATATAAATATACTTTCTAATAGAAAGCATTAAAAAATTTAGGCAATATAAGAAAATCTCATGCCCAAATGAGGCAAACTGTAACAAGAAGCCTAAACACGTTCTGCTAAAATTTACATTTACCTTCCTTCTCCCTCTCGGCAGTTAGGACATGAGCAGGCAACTCTTCTCAATCTCTTGCCAGGTTGCACTTCCTGGTCAGATGCTTGTTGAGCTTGCTGCAGCTGCACTTGCGTTATCTGATCAGGACTAACTGCACCAATTGCCGCATTAGCAATGCCACCTACTGCTACAGTAACAGGAGCTATTGTAGCTTGCTGTACTTTTACTCCATCCTGTCCTTGCTGTTGACCTGTAAAATAAGAAAATGTTTGTACCTCTTATTAGTCATTTCAGTAAGTGAATGCACAAATAAACTTTATAGGTTTTATAGAACAAAAATCCACCTAAAGTTCAGCAAAGCCACAAAACAAGTATTAAATCCAGCCACTTTTCTGAAGGACTTACCTGCTAGCTTAGATAGCCCTGTTTAATGTAATTGGTTACTAGAACAGCAAAAGACTGCAAATTACTGACTGATACTAAGAAATGTGAACTAGTTTAACATGTGTTTCCATTTTCTCAAAAGCTGAGATAAATGACAAAACATTAAACAAAATATTATACAGAAAGATTGTTAAATCTATTGCCAATTAATGTCTCTCTAAAAATCTTTGAAGACATATCTACATTCAGAAAACTACACTTAGCTAATTTTTCAAGTTGCTTTATGGCACATACAGAATTGTCACTTCTACTATCTGTCCTGAATCAACACTGAGCTACAAAGGAACTTTCACAAAGAAAAAGAAATGTAGGACTAGACTTGAACAAGCTAGCATACCAGAGCTTTTCTGGGTTTTTTTGGAAGTTTTTTCTTCCAGAATTCTCCACCTGGGGCAGGCTAATTCTGGTTATACATACACATTGGGGGACAAGAAGCTGGAGAGGAGCCCTATGGAAAGAGATCTGTGGGTCTGGCTTGATGGCAAGTTGAATATGAATCAACAGTGTGCCTGGGCAGCCAAAAGGGCCAACCGTGTCCTGGGATGCATCAAGAGCAGCATAGCTAGCCGGTCGAGGAAGGTGACTGTCTCACTGGAGTGGCCCCACCTTGAGTCCTGTGTGCAGTTTTGGCAGCTTCAATATAAGAAGGACATCAAACTGTGTCCAGAGGAGGGTGACCAAGATGGTGAAAGGTCTTGAGGGTAAAACTTACAAGGAGCCGCTGAGGTCACTTGGTTTGTGTGGGTTGGAGAAGAGAAGGCTGAGGAGTGACCTCATCGCAGTCTGCAGCCTCCTCAAGGGGGGCAGCAGAGGGAGATCTGCTGATCTCCTCTCTCTGGTGACCAGCAACAGGACACATGGAAATAGTAAGAAACTGCAACAGGGGAAGTTCAGATTGGACATTAGGAAAAGGTTCTTCACCAAGAGTGTGGTCACTCACTGGAACAGGCTTCCCAGGGAAGTGGTCATGGTACCAAGTCTGTCAGAGTTCAAGGAACATTTGGATGATGCTCTTAGTCATATGGTTTAGATTTAGGTAGTCCAACAAGGAGTAGAGAGTTGGACTCGATGATCCTTATGGGTCCCTTCCAACTTGAGATACTCTACAATTCTATGATTTTATTTTGCAGAAGGTAGTATATTTCCAGTCACGAAGACTGGAAAAGCAGCTTGATTGAATTGAGTGGAATTTTAAGATTGATTTGATGAATTAAGAATCCAGTTCCATTGCATAAGTTCATTGATCTCATTGGCTTTCTTGATCAAAGGAAATCAGAATTACTGTCTTGACAGTAAAGCAAAATAAAGACTATTCCAATACAGGTAAGAAGTGTAGTTCCTTGAGCAGCAGGGTAATACTATGTTGCTTAAAAAGTTAGTACTATACAGTCTAAGAAAACAATGTAACCAACTTAAATTTGTCACAGATATATGACTTCCAGTTGCAGTCTGACAACAGTGAATGCCAGTCCTGCCAGCAACAGGAATGGGTCGAAATGTCATTAGATGCTGCTATTTTCAAAAATTCAGTGCCTTCGTACAAATGGGAAATAAGAGGAAATACTACCTACTTACTGAGAGAGTGTAATAACCAACCAGAATTCCCTAGAATAATATTTTAAGACTTGAAAGTCCTCAGTATTGAAGCATTAATTTAAAACTTAGAAATCCCTTGGAGGTAACATAATTCAGAGAGATTAAAATGTGTACTCCAACTTACTTCCCAAGCATCTGTAACAGACACCATCAATGGGGATAAGGCTGAGAACACCACTCTCAAGTCTAAACTGCCTAGCTACCATGTGAGTTCATATACAACACAGCATGGGATAATGACTACTTCATTCACATGATTGCTGAGGAGCAATATAAGCTATCTTGTATAATACCATGATAACAGCCATAGATGAAACCTAACACACACCACCTAACACCACCACATACACGCAGATAGGTTAGGACTAAAGAACATGATATACACAGAACCTCCCAAAGTGACTTGACTGTCCTCTAACAGGCGCTACTGTTGGCTCCAGGAAATAGAATAAACCTGTCTTGTGCCTACGTCAGTACCAGGTTATTTTTACCAGAAACACTGACCAAATTTTCCCAGTTACCCCTCTTGGTTTCCACCTGGAACTTGCACCTGATCTGCCTAGATATGAATAAACATATATTCCTTGTTTTCTTAAGCAGGCCACAAATATTGACAGATGCTGAGTACTTTCGGTTCTCTGAAAAGAGCAAGGACAAACCCAGAAGAGATAATGTTTGAATCCCACTTACAGTTGGACAGATAGATATTAAAAGAAAAAAAAGACATTCTAAAAAAAAGTCTGGTATTTGCAGCAGAGGAACCACAGAAAAAGAATTACAGGCTTAACCTTAAGTGCAGAGCCTTCATATGTCTAGGATAGAACAAAGTCTTTCCTTTCAGAATAGTTTTGTACTGGAAACAAATTTATTTCACATATTCTAATGGGAAAGAAAAGCACTCGTGAAAATCCTTGAGGAAGAATGTGATAGGGTAAGGAGAACACTGTGGAATAAATGCAAATAGCAACATCTACTTGGGTCTAACAGTGGCAGAAGAGGACACAAGAGCTTCCAAAGAAAGTGCTAGTCCAGGGGCAATTTCTTGTCAGTCTGTCAAGCTGCCGAAGTGCTGACCAAGTGCTATTAAGAGCCAGAGTCAAAGGCAGCTGATCATGTTTGTTATACCTAATGCTCATCTTAACATGATAGTGTGATTGCTCATGTTGAAAACCAGCTGCAGTTTTTGGTTAGCCACAGGTAAATAAATTAACAGGACGAACTTGCTCAGCTTGTAGTCTTTCGCAGAACACAAACTGCTCTCCTGCCTTGGGTTAAACATGCCCAAGATGCAAACTCCTCTAATTCACAGAGCACCACTATAAATGATGAGTCTATGAACGGTTACCGCAGAAGTCTAAGATGTAGCACATATCATGGCCACAACTACTGCAGTCTCTTGTGCTATTTTCACTATCAGTCATGTTTTCAAGTACATTAATAAGAATTACCTTTGTTGTTACAGTCTGCTGGAGGGATGACTCTATCCATGTCAGAAAGTCCTATTTGAGCAAAAAAGTCCTGGGACCTAACCATCTGTGGCCAGAACACAGCTGAAGAGCATTATTTCCTATCATTTATCCCTTTCTCTCTGATTTTCTTGAACTGATATTAAAGTTTCAATGCAACTTTCCCGCAGGCTGCCAGACCAAGGCTGTCCAAGTAAGATGTGAATTGAGGCACTTAAACACAGAGGAGGATGACTCCATTTTTCACTCCATGACCAGTGCTACATCATGAATGCCCAGCACATAACTCTTGGTGGATCTGACCAATCCATATTTATGGGGAAGCCTATTTAGCATGTCTAAAAATCCAGTATATTGTGCTGATTCAAAATGAAACAACTTTCAGTCTCTAGGTCATGAGATGACCAAGCACACAAGGGTCTTCTAATACTTCTGAAGAAGTATTAGAGTACCACTCCTGACACTTATCTGCTGCAAGCCTTCCCTCCCCCACGTGAGGACCACGCCTATCTTGGAATACAGGATACAGAGCACTGAGCTACAACCTTAATTTATTTATTAAACATAATGTAGTGATACATCTGAGTAGAAATTCTTCACAATAAGGTGATAATAAAAATATAAAAGAGAAAATGCCAAAAATAAGGTTGCTCAGGCAGACAATTACATTATCTATATGGCTTCAGTTAAACAGTAATCAAATGACTGCTCTTTAGATGGCATTAACAAAGTTATTCAATTTTCTAATGTGAATGTTGATTTTTTTCTTTAATCTCACAGAGCTGTTATTTTAAACTCCCTTCCCTTGCATTCCACTTACTAAATTCACAGCAGAAGGTTCTGAAACTCTTAAAATATCACACAAATAGCCTTATTTAAAGGTCCAGGCCACAATATTCAATAAGCAAAACTCTACTTTTTGTGGTAAAAGAGCAACCGAAGGAAGCACACATATCTGATAAATATTCTTTGCCAGAGATTTACACAATTATCAGAAAACACTGGAAAGTTCAATAATGTAATTCCTTAATTTTCGTTTTGAAATCCTGAAAGAGCATCCCAACAAGCTAGCACACTAGTAGCATACAGGATAGAAACGTATATTCTAATTTTAAAGTTGTTAAACATAAAATTCTTCATTTTTGTTCTTTGACAGTAAAATGAATGTATTTTAGACCAGCTGAAAAATCTTTTCTCTTGAAGAAAAACCAGAACATTTTCACAAAACAGCTGATAGAACATGCCCTGGTCTAAATCTCAAAGTAAGCCTGCTATAGTCTTGAGTTGTATGGGATTTTGATTTTTTTTTAAAGTACATACTAGAATCCACTATGAATCACTAAGGGCTTTAATTTTACATTCTTTATACTTATTAAGGGAAGATAAAGGAATTTAATTATTTCTTAAATCAAATATACTGAGGAAAAGATACGGAAAAAACTTAACTGTTGATATGAATTTGTCAGCAGCCTACAAAATTAAATCAGGGCTACTTCTAAAAAAAGTGTACAGAAATAAGGATTTTTCAATAAAGAGGATCTAGATACATATTAGCTTTTTCTTTGAAACAAACTCTGCTTATTCTGAAAACATGTGGCTAAGATAATGTTATCCATACAGGAACAGAATGATCTCCTGAGATCTTCTAGATAGCAAAAAAAAGACCTACTACAAATAATCCATATGACTTCTTACTAGCAGCATTAAAATATCATTTTAAGCCTCCCAGAAATTCTGCTACAAT